GTGTGTGTGTGTGTGTGTGTGTGTGTGTGTGTGTGTGTGTGTGTGTGTGTGAGTGTCAATATGTCTGTCTGTCTGTGTGTTCTGTAGTATTTTGCTAACTAACCCTTTTTATAAGACCTATATTAGCCTACGTGTTCCCTTTAACAAAGGTCGCTGCATGTGTAGTTTGCAAACATGTGAAACTATGTTTATATCAAGGGCTACGTCCACACTGACTTGACGAAGAGGATAAAGAAAGGTGAGAGGGAAGTGGAGGTGAATTTCTTCTTTTTTAAATTACGCTCGAATCATATTTCTGATTTGACAGAAGACCGGAGAATGCAACCACTTTCTTTAGCAAAAATTAAATAAATTAAACATGCCTGAAACTTATTCAAGTTTCCATTATACATTTCGTACTGAACAACAACGATGATGATGATCGATGATGATGATAATAAGAATTGAACAAATGTTTTGTATTGTTTTGATGAGTGTTTTACGGCGCTTGCAACTGTAGGCCTATAAGGTCAAATGAGAGCGCGGGGCACATTAAGCACTTTCAATTTGGTTGGAATTAATTTTTTATTTCTTTCGAGTGGCGGCCGAAGCCTACTCTTATCGATTTTAGGACCACCAAGGGATCTTTAACGTGCGCAACTTGCAAATGGGACGGACAAATGTATGCTGTACAATAATGATGTCAGTAAAGATGATACTAAGTACTGTAATCGAAATCATATCACAACCAGCAATCAATACAAATGTAATCCATTTTCCATCCACGCCCTCGATACACTACATATTATCACAATTATCACTCACAGTTGAATGCTTTCTCAGCATGCTCGCTGAGGTCTGCAGCCAGTAGAACCACCCTGTTGTACTCCATAGCCATTTTGGATTATTGTCCTCGTCTGCTGTCGTCCACAGGAGGAGGCCAGGACAACTTTCTTGTACCGTGTGACAATCTCACCTGCTGTCACTCGCCGGGGCGGAAACAAGGGGCTGCAGCAAGGAAAAAGGGAAGGTTAAACTTGTGCTTAGCCGCACTGATTTGTTAGCTGAACTAGATCGAGAGAGAGAGAGAGAGAGAGAGAG